CGGACCTCCGGCGACTTTTTTCGGTAACATGCATGACATGTGAACATAATATGATGAATGTGCTATAAATATGCTATGAAACACTAGTGGACCCCGGGTCCACGTGCATGTTCACTCGATAGGACCTAAATGGCACGTACGAGCACTTGACGTCCGAACAAACATTCATAACTTACAAATCTACTTAGGGCCGAATGTTTAACATGATAAAACAAGGCTATAATGGCTAGTACTCATGTCATAACTTGCATGCATGAATATAAGCCTCGGGTGCTCAAAATACCCCATTTTCATGAATGATTTGACTAAGTTAATGAACTCATTTCATTCTCAAACTTTAACATCATCAATAACATGATTTTTAAGAGTGATTAAACTAGCAATCTTGACTTAGGCATGCATGCCACTCCATTTTCATTTTTAAGGCCCTAATTTAATTAAATTCGAAACATGCCTTTAAACACACGCATGGCTCGTTTTTACTTCATGATAAATCATATTTAATCATAACATGACTAAATAACTCAAAAGGCACGAGCTTACCTCGGTTAGAAATGGAAAAATAGTGTTAGGGCTCAAAATATGATTAGGCGCGGCTTGGAGGCTTGAGGTGGACTTGGAGTGTGATTTGGCTGAGCTTAGGGCACTCCCAAGACTTAGAAAAATCTAAGGAACACTTAGATGCTGCTAAGCCTCGAGAGATTTTTCATGTAGGTGGCTGAACCTTGATCTCCTCCTTCCCCGGGCTGCTGGGCGCGCCGTAGTGGCAGGTAAGGGCTTCTCAACTTTTCTGACTTATGGCTAAGTATTTGCTCGAGCTTTAGGGTGTCAAAGGTCTTCAAAGGGGCTGAGCAAGGGTCCTAAAATAGGCTGAGGGGCGGAGCTTACAAGGCTAAGTGGTGGGAGTCAAAACAAGTGGGAAATGGCACCACATGTGCATGAAACATAGGGCCATTGTCTTGGTATGCATTTGACCTGACTTTGAACGTTTTAGTGGACCTTATGGGTGGTTTTCAGAGCATAAACAACTGAAGGGGAAGGTCTGGCACGAGGGTGGGGGACAAGGGACTTCCCAAGGCATTAAATATTCACTAGCCCACATGCACTCACATTAAAATAATGCCCACTACTTAGGACTTTGCTAATCATTTTTTTAGGGCCATATTAGCTTAAACTAATCCTTGTTAAGTGTATAATATACGCATGAAGGGGTCTTGGGTGAAAGTGGGCCGAAACTTTGCCATTTGGGCCCAAGAAGATGGGCTGGCAGGGCTGTCGCTAGGCTGGGCGCTGGCTGCTGGGCGCGGGGATGCTGGGCCTGCGCGCGAGGGCGTGCTGAGCTGGCGCGGGAAGTGGGCTGCACGCGGAAATGGGGTCTTGGGCCTAGCCCCTCACTTGTTAAGGCTTCCATGGTGTCTCCCATACTTAGAAAAATATTAGGACTAATGTGCTATGGCTAAGACAAGCCTTGGGCTCGGTGGCATGTTCTTGGGCGCGGCTCGGGGTGCGGGTGCGAGGTTAGGGCACGGGCGGCTCGGGTAGGTCTAGGGCTCGATTTTTAAAGTGTCCGAGACTTATCTCTTGATATTCCAGGACTTAGAAAATTATTCTAAGAATAAAATGCCAAGACTTGGCTATGATCGAGAATTTACTTGAAAAATAATCGGAACTAAACTAGGGTTCGAAGCCGATAATTTCTCGAATCGACTTACTATTATTTAACAACCCAAATTAATGGATTAATCTTAACTTAAACTTGATATAGAATTATTCAAAGAATAATTTATCATATTTGAGCATTTACCATACTAAATATAACTAGGGAATTTCTGAAAATTACGGATTTCACTTATAGTCGAGCAGTGAAACCGTTCTTACTATTATTTCTAATTTGGGGCGTTACATTGACGTTCGGCCACCTCTTTGATATGAGAGTGTACACTTCGCCAAGCGTTGATCCAATGTGCATAGAGAACATAAACAATTCATTCTTGTACGTACAACTCCCTAGTATATCACTTTGTGCCCCTTCCATCTATCTAACAATATTTGGATAAAAAAAAATAATTCACATTTCCCAGGAAAATATGGTACAAAAAAGAATTAAAGTGGTACTATATACATGCAAACAGAGGTACAATAATCAAGAATAAGGGTACAGTGACATCCCCACCTTATTTTCTTGTTTTTGAGTGAATAACACATTACATAACTTAACAATAGCATCAATTTCGTATACATAAACAAGAAATAAGAGATTTTGATTGATTTAGGGTTAATATGAACAACAATTTTCAAAATTCAATCCCTAACAAATTAACTAAATATATACGACTTAAACATGATTTTTGGACTCCAATGTGCATAGAGAACATAAACAATTCATTATTGTACGTACAACTCCCTAATATATCACTTTGTGCCCCTTCCATGTATATAATTATTGGATAAATAAAAAAAACTTCACATTTCCCAGGAAAATATGGTACAAAACAGTATTAAAGTGGTACTATATAAATCAAACAGAGGTACAATAATCAAGAATAGTGTATTCCCACCTTATTTTTATGTTTTAGGGTGAATAACACATTACACAACTTAACAATAGCATCAATTTCGTATACATAAACAAGAAATAAGAGATTTTGATCAATTTAATTGATTTAGAGTTAATATGAACAATAATTTTCAAAATTCATCCCAAACCAATTAACCAAATATATACGAATTAAACATGATTTTTGGACGCCAAAATGCTCATATAATACATATATTACTTGCTACTTCAAATTTTGGCCAGAAAAAGCACGAATGTTGCTGGAAAAAATTAATTCTTGGCCGCACAAATTTGACGTCGGAATCACTTCTTTGGCCGGATTTGTTGTTGCCGGAGTTCTTCTTGCTGGATTTTGTCGCCGGAGAGACCGGCCTGCCAAAAAAAAAAATATGGAAGCAGTCGCCGGAAATGGAGGAAGACGGGAGAGTGACGGGAGGGAAGGAGAAAGGGTGTAGAAGAAGATTGATCAAAAAGTAATAAAATACTATCATGTGTTGTGGTTGGTGGAAGATAAAACAAATAAAATAATATGTTAGTGGGATGATGTAATAAAGCATTTTAGTTTTGATTTAATTTTAACATTAGAGAGTTAGGAGGAAGAAAAATAAGAAATTAGGAAATTGAAAGGAAGAAATCAAGGTATGAGGACTAAAGAGGAAAATAAAAAAATATTTAGAGATTTAATAGGAAGTTGCCCTTCTTTAAATTATTTAAATAAGTATAGAAAATGATTAAATGCAAATGAATATATTTCAGAATATATTGAAAAGTTACTTGGGATACAAATGCAAATGAGAAGTCAAACCGCGTGGGTTCCGATAAAACGTCACATCCATTTTGTGCAGCTGTTCTTCGTGCTCCTAAAACTTTCGCGATAGCGTGGAAAATGCGCGTCAAAACGTGACAGCAAAATGATAACTAAAACCCAACCCACTGATCTTGACACACTGTATATATAAACTATAAACATTTTTGTTGTATAAAGAGAGTAATTAAGACAGATTGGAATGGTCAATGTAGGTAGGAGTGAGGTTCTTGCGTTCTTCTTCGTGTCTTCACCTTAAGATGGGCTTGACTTTGACCTTGTCGGGAAAAATAATTTCAATGGCCCATTATTAAGAAGTCTTGACCAATGTTTTAAACCATGTTTTAGATATTTGTACAGGTCAGCATTATTGGTAATATTAGATATCGATAGTCCGAACAGTACGATAACGATCAAAATACCACTTTTTCTAAAATGTCGGTTTATATAAGTTTTATATCAAAAAATATATACGTTTTACCACTATATAACGATAAAAATATCAGTTAAAATATCAGATATATCAGATTAAAAAAATATATATACTTAGTTTTAATATGTTTATATTTTTATTAAATTGATCCATATTAGTATTTATTAAATTTGGTTTTATATATGATTTATATTATATTAATAAATTAAATTGATAGTTATTAAAATAGGTAAAATAGGCGATAATATCGGTTGAGTCCCGTACCGATAGCTCATCCGCAATGATTGATGTTACTGTATTTAATTTTTTTTAAAAAAAATATTTCAATTATGACAAAATATATATTTTTTAAGGAATTGAAACCAACAAAAAAGGCTTATTTAACCAAAATGATTAAAAAAATAATAATAATGTTCATATAAGCCGAAATATCCTACTAGTATATAAAGAAGCTGTGACATGTTTTGTTGTCCGAGCTCGATATCTAAAGTGTGATTGACTACAAGTGAAAACTGATATTTATGATTATGATTGTTTAGGCACTATTTCACTCAAAATTCAATTCAAATAGAATTTAACCCAACTTTCATCCATATTAATATAATTAAATAATATTAATCAATAATTCTGATACATTATATTAATTTTAATTCACAATTGATCAATTCACATATTTTTAATTATCTATTATTTCAAATAATTTATTTCTTACTTTTTCATCACATCAACTTTAATCATTAAATTTTAATGAATTCTAAAAAAGCAAGTTAACAACTACAATCAAATTGGATCTTAGAGATTAATTAAATACAAATTCAAACTTTCAATCGATCTTCCATTCAATTAATTTTATCTAAAATTAATTCATTTTAATCAATAAATATAATCAAAATCGATTTTATCTATATGGAATCACCCCTAAATAATTTATTTATTCCATACGTGCTCTTTCAGTCGCAACACTTACTCAGAAATTTAATTTTCTATTCATCAGCCGACTACAGTTTTACCTTTATAGCCAACGCCCACTATACAGCCTTAATTTATTATTATTATTATTATTATTATTATTATTATTATTATTATTATTATTATTATTATTATTATTATTATTATATCTATATTGGTTGGATTTTGAGTGTAAAATGAGTGTCTAGAATAATATAATTCGGAAGTGCATTATTTTGTTTTCACCTTTAATCTACCTTCCTCCTTACCTTCCTACATGTTGTGGTCACTGGTCAGCCCTTCGTATATATCTTATCCTTGTTTTCATTTTTTCTACTTGCTACAACACATCACAAACACACGCATAAATCCACAACAGCCTTTGAAGAAATTAAGTAATTTGTCTGCATAGGCTTATTGCAAAATCGTTCAACAACTTTGTCTCAATTTGTGCGAAAAACTAATGGAATTTACAAGTCTGCTGAATACTTCATTGGATCTCAACGCAAAACCTCTTAGATTTCTGGACGAAGCTCCTTCACCGGTAAGTATAATTTAACATTATTTCTCATCTTTCTTACCCTTTTTCTCTCTCAATCGTATTTACAAGTTGCATGATATTTGTTTGCAGAAACAAGAAGAGAAGGGTAATTTCATTGGGTTGGATAGAAATATAACAGCAGTCAAAGAAGAGGTTAGTTAATCATACACAAAACTGCCTTTAAATTTAGCCTAAACACGATCTAATTCAATTAATTTTCCAATTATACCATCCATGGAGATGTTACATATTGTAGCCTATTAATTGTAAATCGAAATGTTCTTTTTGTTTTTAATTATTGGATAAAGATTAGGCAAAATCAAAATTGTTAAACAACGGTTCTTGATACATGAAAATTTTAATTTTAAAATTT